CGAGACTGCGCCTGAGCCGCCAAGGAGAGAAAGCCGCCGTCCGGGTGCTGCTAGGTAACCCCTCCCCGCACAAATTGTGGCCCTAGTTAGGATTCGACTACAAACGTCGTCTAATGTAAACCGCTCTGAAACCCATTAGGGGTCATGGGCGGTATAGAAATCACATGTAAATAAATTAAAAAAAAAAAATACGGCTTGCCCAAGGTCATCCAGCCAGGTGCAAGTGGAGGAGTGGGGAATCAAACCCAGTTCTCCCAGATTAGAAATTGGATTTATACCCTGCCCTCAAAGGAGTCTCATAGTGGCTTACAAATACCTTTCCCCTTCCCCTCCCCACAACAGACACCCTGTGAGGCAGGTGGGGCTGAGAGAGCTCCGGCAGGAACGGCTCTTTTTCAAGGACAGCTCTGACAGAACTATGGCTTGCCCAAGGTCATCCAGCAGCTGCACATGGAGGAGGAGTGGGGAATCAAACCCGGTTCTCCCAGATTAGAGTCGCGCATTTAACCACGACACCAAACTGGCCAAATCGCTCGCTCCCAACTTTAATGCCAGTAGCTCACAAAGTAGAATTTCTGCTCACAAGAGTCCACAGCTTAGAGGGAGCCTTGGTGGTGACATCTCAGGTGAAATAAATAAATAAATAAAAGAAGTTTCCTACAGCCACGGCTGGAGTTCTCAAACCGACCCTGCAGTGCGGCAGCCAGCCCTCCCTCGCCTCCTCGGGATACCTCCGGCAACGGCACGCCTACAGACTCTCGCGTCTCCTGCAGTCTCGTCCTGCCCTCCTGCTGCTTCAAAAGCTGGATGCCGCGGAGCGACTTGCAGTTTGCAAGTGAGGGATAATCCCTCCAGGAGGGCAGGTGGCCGGGGACAGCGATTACTGAGGCCTGGGGAAGGCGACTCTGCCAACTGCAGAAGGAAGCTTCATTAAGATTAACTTCGGTTTACCTAAGACTCTTAGAGGAGACTGGAGGAGGCAATGCGAGCGAGGGAGGTGCTTGGATGCGGCCGGAGACACAATCAGCCCCCCAGGAGTAGCAGCCTCAGGGCGGGCCACGATAGCCAAGGAAGCTTAAGGCGGGTGGGCGGGGCCCTGAGACACTCACCGTTCCAGAGACAGCCCCCAGGCAATGACGGACACCCCCTCTGGCAGGCCCATCGGTAGCAGCATCTCTGGGCGGAAGACTCCAGAGTTTCCCACCTCCACCCACTTCCTCAAGCCTGCAACGGAAACAAAGGGGGCACCGTTAAAGCTGGGGAGGCGGGGCAGGAGGGGCGACGAACCCCGCGCTGAACGGCCACAAGCCAGGTGGCGACCCCGGCCAGGCCAACTGCAGAAGACCCCCGGCCAGGCCAACTTCAGAGAATCTGATCTGTTCCTCTGCTCCCCGCCTGCGGCCGGCAGCCCACCAAAGGCCAGAGAATAAGGGCACCTCCAGCCCAAGGAGGAGGATGCAAAGTACTCCGGTCATTTGTTGACAAAACAAGAGTGTTGAGATAATCCGCCCCGATCCTTGTACAGAAGGTACTCGCAGAACAAAGAGAATGGATATGCAGCAGCACTGGCTCCCGTGGGCAGAACAGGATGGAAGAGGTGAAATTGCTGAGCAGTCGGGTTAGAATGGATAAAAGGAAGTACTTCTTCACCCAAAAAGGATGAACACATGGAATTCACTGCCACAGGAAGTGGTGGCGACTACAAGCATGGACGGCTTCAAAAGGGAATTAGATAAGCATATGGAGCAGAGGTCCATCGGTGGCTCTTAGCCACAAGTCACAGATAGAAACTCTTATCTATGCCAATAAAGGTTTTGAAATTGAAATTGAATTGATAGGAACTCTCAGGCTGGGGCAAGTGATGCTCTGTTATTCTTGGTGCTTGGGGGAGGAGCAACAGTGGGAGGGCTTCTAGTGTCCTGGCCCCACTGCTGGACCTCCTGATGGCACCTGGTATTTCTGGCCCCTGTGTGACACAGAGTGTTGGACTGGATGGGCCATTGGCCTGATCCAACATTGGCTTCTCTTATGTTCTTATATGAAGCAGAGGTCCATCAGTGGCTATTAGCCACAAGGTATGGATAGGGACTCTCAGTCTGGGGCAAGGGATGCTCTGTGTTCTTGGATCAACAGTGGGAGGGCTTCTGGTGTCATCTGGCCCCACTGCTGGACCTCCTGATGGCCCCTGGTATTTCTGGCCACTGTGTGACACAGAGTGTTGGGCTGGATGGGCCACTGGCCTGATCCAACACTGGCTTCTCTCTTATGTTCTTATGTAACCCCTCACAGTCCACCTACAAACTGGAATTTGCAGCGAACTCCACCAACCAAGAGGTGACGGTTACCACAGTGTTCCCACATGTGCAGGGCCTTCCCCAAAGATTCGGAAGGCTGAACAGGAGCTTGAGCAACACAGAAAGGAATGCTCTTCAGGCCACAGTTGCTTGCTCCTTCCTCCCCCTTATTGCAAGTTTATTTTCCCCCCCGAAGGGCTTCAGAACTACAAAGTGTGTTCATTTGACAGAACTATTTACAGCAGCCTTTTAAACAAAGTTCTTTTCCTTACAACAGGAGGGCTAAATGGAATATGAGGCCTTTATTTGAGGCTGATGCGTATTACTGAGCCTGTTCGCTCTAAGCTGAGTGTGAGCTAGCTCACACAGTTCTTATGTAACCCCTCACAGTCCACCTACAAACTGGAATTTGCAACGAACTCCACCAACCGAGAGGTGACGGTTACCACAGTGCTCCCACATGTGCAGGGCCTGCCCCACAGATCCGGAAGGCTGAACAGGAGCTTCAGCGACACAGAAAGGAGTGAAGGAATCCTCTTCAGGCCATACTTGCTTGCTCCTTTCCCACTCTTTGGAGATTTCCCCCCTTATTGCATGTTTTTATCCCAGTTTATTCCCCCCCCCCCCCGAAGGGGTTCAAAACCACGAAGCGTGTTCACGTGACAGAGCTATTTACAACAGCCTTTTAAACAAAGTTCTTTTCCCGATAACAGGAGGGCTGAATGGAATATGAGGCCTTTATTTGAGGCCGATGCATATTACTGAGCCTGTTCCCTCTAAGCTGAGTGAGTGTGAGCTCACACTAGCCTCTGGCTCACACATTTTTTTTAGCCTCTGGCTCACACATTTTTGTCTTAGCTCAGGGAGGACGGCTCCAGAGCAAACTAACTTAATGCAGTAGACAAATGGCTCGCTCACCACTTTAATGCCGGTAGCTCACAATAGGATTTTTGCTCACAAGACTCCACAGCTTAGAGGGAGCGTTGCAACCCTGACATGTTCAGGAAGGGAGCCAGTCCTTCAAATTTGAGGCCACCTGGGACTTCCAGAGACAGGAGCCCATCTAAGCATCGCCAGGCTGTGCCGCCACAACGGAAAAACGCTCCTACTTATAGCACACGATCGGGCTGACCGAGTTTTGCGCTCGTGTGAGTCATACGGGGATTACCGGTGGCTAAACTGGGGGCAGCTGGAATTCCTCCTAAAGGCTGTGACTACGTAGCTGCCTTCTTGACCAGAGTGGAAATTTTTTAAAATATCTGAAATGGTTCGCAGGTAATAACGTGAGCAGAGATCAGGGCGCCTAGACTGCCTGTTCCGGCCCTCAAATATAACGGCTTCCACTCTGCTGGCCTGGCTGCGGAAGACGTGTTCGTTTATCAATTCATCTCCTGGGCAACGTGCTTTAAACACCCCCCCCCAGAGGGGATCAGACAGGGGCACAGAGGACCCCCTGCATCTTGGCACCATCTTGCTGCCTTCCTGGCCGCACTTACCCTGGTGGTAGCTGAACACCTCCATGCTGGGCTCCGTGTAAGGGTTGTAAGCAGGCTTGAACCGCAACTGTGTAATCCCTGTCAAGTGGTGTGTAGTGGTTAGAAACACAGACTCTAATCTGGGAGAATCGGGTTTGATTCCCCACTCCTCCACATGCAGCTGCTGGGGTGACCTTGGGTCAGTCACAAGTTCTCTCAGTGACAAATCCTCAGAGGGGATCAGACAGGGGCACGGAGGACACCCTGCATCTTGGCACCATCTCGCTGCCTTCCCGGCCGCACTCTTACCCTGGTGGTAGCTGAACACCTCCATGCTGGGCTCCGTGTAAGGGTTGTAAGCAGGCTTGAACCGCAACTGTGTAATCCCTGTCAAGTGGTGTGTAGTGGTTAGAAACACAGACTCTAATCTGGGAGAATCGGGTTTGATTCCCCACTCCTCCACATGCAGCTGCTGGGGTGACCTTGGGTCAGTCACAAGTTCTCTCAGTGACAAATCCTCCTGAGCACACGAAGCTGCCTTCTGCTGCTGAACTGGCCCGTCATGGTCAGTCTTGTCTACTCAGACTGGCGGCAGCAGCTCTCCAGGGTCTCAGGCAGGACCTTGGGACAGTCACAAGTTCTCTCAGTGACAAATCCTCCTGAGCACACGAAGCTGCCTTCTGCTGAACTGGTCCGTCATGGTCAGCCTTGTCTACTCAGACTGGCGGCGGCAGCTCTCCAGGGTCTCAGGCAGAGCAAGGTCTTCCACATCCCCCCTGCCTGGACCTTTCAACTGGAGGTGGCGGGGATTGAACCGGGGACCTTCTGCATGCCAAGCAGAGGCTCTTCCACTGAGCCACAGCCCCTCTTTATAGCTCTCCAGGGTCTCAGGCGGAGGTCTTTCACATCCCCTACTGCCTGGTCCTTTTAAGTGGAAATACTGGGGATTGAACCTGGGACCTCCTGCAGGCCAAGCAGAGGCTCTGCCACTGAGCCACAGCCCCTCTTTACAGCTCTCCAGGGTCTCAGGCGGAGGTCTTTCCCATCACCTCCTCCCTGGTCCTTTTTAACTGGAGATGCCGGGGATTGAACCTGGGACCTTCTGCATGCCAAGCAGAGGCTCTGCCACTGAGCCACAGCCCCTCTTTACAGCTCTCCAGGGTCTCAGGTGGAGGTCTTTCCCATCCCCTCCTGCCTGGTCCTTTTGACTGGAGATGCCGGGGATTGAACCTGGGACCTTCTGCAGGCCAAGCAAAGGCTCTACCACTGAGCCACAGCCCCTCTTTATAGCTCTCCAGGGACTCAGGCGGAGGTCTTTCACATCCCCTACTGCCTGGTTCTTTTAAGTGGAAATGCAGGAGATGCCGGGGATTGAACCTGGGACTTTCTGCAGGCCAAGCAGAGGCTCTCCCATGAAGCAGCTCCCAGAGAACATCTCTTTGGCTCCTCGCCAGGCCTACCCTCCCATCTCCACCCTCTTCAGCCTTCCTCCTCCTCCTCCTCTCACGCAGCAGCTCCATCCCAGCTTGGTGAAAAACTCTTTCAGGACACCCATCAGGTCTCCCAGCGTCAAGCCATAGTCTGCCACCACCCCTTCGATCTGGTGGAACTCGGCCAAGTGGGTAGCATCCAGGGTCTCGTTCCTAAAGACTCGGTCGATGGAGAAGTATTTGGCGGGGGTGAACTTCTCCTGCGGGGAGGAGAGAAGCAGTTATAAAAACTCTGGGCTTCGGCTCGGCTCGAGGGTTTCTGTCTCAACAAGCACAGCCCCCCACCGCCAGCCTAGTCCATCCGGCCCCACGAGATGCGGATGAAGCCGACCCCCAACCCCTCAATGGCCCGGCTCTTCAGTCATCTCCCGCAGAGCCAGGAAGGCGCGTGCGCGGGCGACTACCTGCTGTGCCAGCTGATAGAGCATGCGCGCACTGACAGCCGTGGTGTGTGTCCGAAGCAGATTCTTCCGGGCCTCTTCCAGCTTCCAATCGTACTTGTACCTGAGAGAGGAACAACAACAACAACGAAAGAAATGCATTAACCGGAGTCATCTCTCTTTTTTTTATAACATTTTTTATTTTTAAAACAAACACATCAAACGAACAAACATAGAGAAAAGACATAAAGTGCAGGTTACAAAGAGTTTCTGATTATATCTATTACAATACCTCCTACCTTGTAAGAAATGTATAAATTGTTTTTAGTCACCATATATTCATATCTGTGTTTACAGCGTTGTATTTAGCGGCTTCAAAAGGGAATTAGATAAGCATATGGAGCAGAGGTCCATCGGTGGCTATTAGCCACAAGGTATAGATAGGGACTCTGGGGCAAGTGATGCTCTGTCATCTTGGTGCTTGGGGGGGTCAACAGTGGGATGGCTTCTAATGTCCTGGCCCCACTGGTGGACCTCCTGATGGCACTGGTATTTCTGGCCACTGTGTAATACAGAGTGTTGGACTGGATGGGCCTTTGGCCTGATCCAACATTGTCATCTCTTATGTTCTTATGTTCTCAAAACTGAATTCTAGAGTACTTCGAAATGATATCGTAAGACTTAACTGTTCATTTATTGTATTCTTCCAGCCATTTATAAAATCTTGACCAGTGTATTCTGAAATCTCCCTTCTTCTTGCCCTCTCAAAAATAAAGTCAGTTTATCTATCTCAGCAGTTGCAAGTTTTGTCTAACGTTTCTTCTTCTGAGGGTATTTTGTCTTTCCTCCAATATTTTGCATATAATATTCTTGCGGTACTCAGTGCATGTATAATAAGATGCAAGTCTTGACTTTTACATGTTTCCAGTGTCATCTCAACTGACAATCAACTTGTACAACTGTTCGTTGCGATTTCGCCAGTTAATTGCTGGTATCCAATGAGACCTGTCGGTGGAGTGGCCAGACCTCACGGACTCAGAGAGCTTCCTACTTTCCCCACCCTCTGCAGCCCATCAAGGGCCCCCACCCAATTTAAAAAATATATATTTTAAAAAGAAGAGACTGGATTTATACCCCGCCCTTCACTACCTGAAGGAACCTCAGAGCGGCTTTCAATCTCCTTTCCCTTCCCCTCCCCACAACAGACACCCTGTGAGGTAGGGCCTGAGAGAGCTCTTTCGACGACTGCTCCTGATAGAACAGCTCTGAGAGAACTTGTGACTGACCCAAGGTCACACCAGCAGCTGCATGTGGGGGCGTAGGGAATCAAACCTGGTTCTCCCAGATTAGAGTCCGTGCTCTCTTAACCACTACACCAAACAGAATAATAATACAAAAAGGATACAGGAAGAAAAAAAAGAGGGATTACAGAACATGATGCATGTCAAGAACAATCATAGTTAACAGAATGGATGAGTCAGAAAATATTTCTCTCCAACATCCCCTTCATTACAATTATTAAGGTATTATCTGTAAAATACAATGGTGCTTACTTGTGCTGGGGAACATTTACATTCAACATCTTAAATTTCAAACTCCCCAACTCCAATTTTTGTTCCTGAGCGTTCGCTGACTGCCACAAGCTAAAACTGGGAGGTCAGGAAAGGGTGCATGGGCAGGAATCTTTGGAACTGTGTGGTTGGATGTAAGCCAGTGATGGAGGACTGGTCTTGACAGCAGATCCAAAAAACCCCGTCATTGATCTGCTGGATTCACTGTTCAAAATGCCAGCAACAAAAGCTGTGCAAGGCCTTGTTATTAAAACAAATAAAAACAACAAAAACAAAACAAAAACAAAAATACTCTGCAAGCTTCCCAGTTCCCTGGAGTTGGAGGTCCAAACATAAACAAAGGGAACTGGGAATGTTCCAGCGCACAATGGAAAAAAACACCAAATGGCAGTCTGTAGAGCAGGGGTGCCGAACTCATTTGTTATGAGGGTCGGATCTGACATAAATGAGACCTTGTTGGGCCGGGCCGCGTGTGTCATAAAACATAATGCCAGGGAGCGGAGATATAAACTTTAGAAAGGACACAAACACAAAGGGTTTTTTTAACAAAATAAAAACACGATTAAAACATGAGCACTCTTGTAATATTTTGCTTATTTAACAGTGTCTGATAACTGACACCTCTTGCTCTGAAGTATTGCATCAAAAAGTCTGTGCTGCTGCAATCTTGAGTATGCTGTTCAAGTACGTATCTGTAAGCTGCAAACCCACTTTTGATTTATCGACATCCACCACAGAAATCTCATGCTCAGAGTTCTGAGTCTAGGACCCAGGGGAAAACATGAAATGGCTGAGCGAATGAGAGAGTCTGGCGAAGCAAGCTGTGATGCAGCAGCAGCAGCAACAGAACTGGAAGCAGGAGATGGCCAGTTCCACTGCAGGCCTGATGGAAGTTCCCTGGGGGCCTGATCCGGCCCCTGGGCCGTAACTTTGACACCCCTTCTGTAGAGTGTTTAATGGCGTGAAGGATGTATTGCAGGCCTCACTGCATGTGGTGCGAGATGCAAAAGATATTTTCAGGCTGCACCAATCGCTAGTGAAGCACGGAATATAAAATAAAATTAAATTTAAAAAGTGGCCGGTCCTTCGTTTTAGGATTCTAACAGCTTAGTTAACTATTGTGATTCTTGTAACGCAATTCTTGTGACAGGCAACAAAGAGAACAGTGCCACTGTTATCCTCCAGACACCAGAGGGGAAAAGACGGATATCTTCGGAGCCGGGCCAGGGTTCTGTTTGCCCTCCTTTGTTGTTCAATATCTTTGCAGAACGACTCTATAACTTTGGAGTTGGGAGGCTTTGATATGCTTATGACACACGCACGAAGCACACAGGCATCTTTTAGGGGGAAATCTGGGTTTTACTCTATCAGTTTGAATTGTAACCGGTGTTCCCTCTGAGCTGAGGTAGTGTGAGCTAGCTCACAGTTTTTTAGCCTCCGGCTCACACATTTTTGTCTTAGCTCAGGAAGAGCAAACTAATTTATGCAGCAGCCAAATCGCTCACTCACAACTTTAATGCTAGTAGCTCACAAAGCAGAACTTTTGCTCACAAGACTCCGCAGATTAGAGGGAGCATTGATTGGAACTTGAGCTACAAGCAAAAGTGGGATATAAACACGTCAATAATAAATCATAATAAAGAGCCCTGCTGTGCATGCTGCTGCAACCAACCATCTGGTCTCCCGTACCAGGCTCTACACATCTTTCAGAGCCAAATGGTGTGCTGATGCTTTTAAAACACAACATCCTGATGTAAGAACATAAAGAACATCGTCCACCCAGCGATTCGAAAGCCTCGGTGAGTAGATAAAATGGGAACCACTCCTTAGAGAGGGTGGGCACACCGACTCCCTTCTGGGAAGGTGTTAGCTCTCAGTTGGAGACGTCCTGGTCTGGACTCGGAAGGCGGAAGAATCTACTCAGCTAAGAAAAATCCCTGCAGTGGGATGCTCCGGCCAGGTGGTGGCAGTGTGGCAATGCAGCTGTTCGGAACATGACTGGGTCAAGCCAGACACGTTTCCACCGGGCAGTACGGCGTATGCAACTTAAATGAATTATATGTTGTCTTCCCTATCCCCTATGAAAAACATTGTTAGTCCCCTCTCTAAAGAGTAACTGTAAATCACTTTGATCCCACTTGTGGGGAAAGCAATTAATAAATCGAAAGCATTATTATTATTATTATTATTACTACTACTACTACTACTACTACTACGCCCTCCCACTGTTACCCCCCAAGCACCAAGAATACAGAGCACCACTGCCCAAGACAAAATGTTCCATCTATATCTTATGGCAGCCACTGATGGATCTCTGCTCCACGTGTTTATCCAATCCAATGACTGGATTTCCAGGACCAACTCTAAACAAACAACGCCCTGCCCCCCCACAACACATTTGATCAGTCTTACCCCTGGGATCCATAGCCTCCTTGGGAGTGAACCCGCTTGACCCTCTTTAGATAATCCATAGGGAAATCAGTGGCTTCGGCAGGATCTGGAAAGAACAAAACACACACTGAGATTTAACGCACATCACAAAGCCATAACCACAAGGAGAGTCGGATTTTCCGAGGGCACAGTGGGAAAGCTAATGCCACCGCCACCCTGACCACTGCTGATGAAGGGACTCTTTTCTTTCTGTAGCAGAATGGGCGTCCCTCCTGATTCACCGGCTGCCTACGGGGATCGTGTGGTGCTAAATTTATCATTCAGAACCTAAAAAGGTTAGTCAAGAATAGAAGAGGGCCAACTTTAAAAATCTAATTATGAAATATACAAAAATATACAAATATCTACATAAATTAAAATAACAAACAAGGGCCCATTCATGACCCTCTTTAGATAATCCATAGGGAAATCAGTGGCTTCGGCAGGATCTGGAAAGAACAAAACACACGCTGAGATTTAACACACATCACAAAGCCACAACCACAAGGAGAGTCGGATTTTCTGAGGGCACAGTGGGAAAGCTAATTCCACCACTGCTGATGAAGGGACTCCTTGCTTTCTGTAGCAGAATGGGTGTCCCTCCTGATTCACCGGCTGCCTACGGGGATCGTGTAGAGCTAAATTTATCTTCATGGAAGTAGCAAGGAGGGCCGCCTGCAAATTGTGCCCCTGTCTCCATCAGGAGTTGGTTTGCACCTGTGAGAGTTGCCCAAGTCCATCCACCTGCAATCCTAACAGTTCTTCTTAAAATGGGGCTGGCCACAGTGCAGAACAGGGATGCCAGCCTCCAGGTGGGACCTGGAGATCCCCAGGAATTACAGCTCATCTCCAGACTACAGAGATCAATTCCCCTGGAGAAAACGGGATGCTTTGGAGGGTGGACTCTGTGGCCCTGTACACCCCGTGGAGGTCCCAATCGTCCCCAGGGCTCCACCTCCCAAATCTCCAGGAGTTTCCCAACCTGGAGCTGGCTACCCTACACCCCCCATCCCCCACCGGTGGCCAGGAGGGACCTGACAACTCTCACCCCTCCTGCTGCAACCTAGGACCGGTGTCACCGGTGTTCCTAAAGTCCAAACTGATGGCTGCAAAAGAGGACATCAGTCATGCAGGAACCGAGCAACACAACTGACCCTTAAGGAAGAAGGTGTCGTGCTGGTCCCGGGCTGGATGCTGCTGCGGCTGGAAAAGGGCGTCAAAGTTCCAGAAGGAGCTCTCAATGAAGTTATTGGTAGGCATTTCTGTAAAACTGAGCGGGGAACAAGCCTAGAGTCACCAAACAAGCAAACAAACAGGGCAGATCATAGGACTGGCTTCTGCTGTGTTATCAATGAGTAGAGGGAGAACTTTGGAAGAGCCCCGCTGGGTCAGACCAGGGAGGGTCCCTCCAGTCCAGCCTCCCGTCTCACACAGGGGCCAGCCAGTCCCTCTGGAGGGCCAGCAACAGGGCAGAGAGTCCGAGGCCTTCCCCTGATAAGAGCATCAGAAGAGCCCTGCTGGGTCAGACCAGTGAGGGTCCATCTAGTCTGGCCTCCCGTCTCACACAGGGGCCAGCCAGTTCCCCTACCCTCAGGAAATACCAAAAGATAAGGTTTTCTTAAAAAATGAAGACATTTGCCCCTGTCACAAGTGCTCCACCAGCACTCCTTCCTCCCTGGAATGGTCTGCGTGGATATGTTAATGGACGAGACGCGTCCCCTGGATGCACTAGCAGACTGAGCCACGACTGCGTGGTATGCCTGCAAACCCACTGTTTCCTCCTAAGAACGCAAGTCAAGAAGGACTTCACGTGCGCAGCTTCCCCTGCCCTCTGACACCTTTCGGTTGCACAAGATATGAGAGGAGAAGAGACTGGATTTACACCCCGCCCTTCACTCGGAGTCTCAGAGCGGCTTACAAACTCCTTTCCCTTCCCCTCCCCACAACAGACACCCTATGAGGTGGGTGGGGCTGAGAGAGCTCTCCCGAGAACTCCCCTTGAGAGAACAGCTCTGAGAGAACTTGTGACTGACACAGTCACACCAGAAGAAGAAGAAGAGATTGGATTTCTACCCCGCCCTTCACTACCCGAAGGAGTCTCAGAGCGGCTGACAAACTCCTTTCCCTTCCCCCTCCCCACAACAGACACCCTGTGAGGTAGGTGTGGCTGAGAGAGCTCTGACAGAAACGGCTCTTTTTCAAGGACAGCTCTTGTCAGAACAGAACAGAGAATATCCCTTGTCTCCAACAGCTGCAGTTCCCTGTCTGATACACTACAGATAAGATACACACCCCATTTCGAGGAAGATCTGCCGGAACTGGCTGCGGACTTTCAGCAGCGGGTGGAGATGACCGCTTTCGGGCATGATGCCCAGGGCCTCAAAGTTATACGCCTTGAACTTCAAGTCTTTCCAGGAGCCACTGCAAGGTTGGGGAAGAGGAAGGAGATTGGGGGGGGGAGCATTAATTCTGCAATAAGGAAAATGACAGGGAGTTCCTGAATCCACTAGACAAGTGGTTTCCTGTACTGGAGAAGACCTCCCACTGTTGCCCACTCCCAAGCACCAAGAATACAGAGCATCCCTTGCCCCAGACCAAGAGTTCCTATCTATACCTTGTGGCTAAGAGCCACCGATGGACCTCTGCTCCATATGCTTATCTAATTCCCTCTTGAAGCAGTCCAGGCTTGTAGCTGCCACCACCTCCTGTGGCAGTGAATTCCATGTGTTCATCACTCTTTGGGTGAAGAAGGACTTCCTTTTATCCGTCCTAACCTGACTGCTCAGCGATTTCATGGAGTGCCCACGAGTTCTTGTATTGTGAGAAAGGGAGAAAAGAACTTCTTTCTCGACTTGCTCTATCCCATGCATAATCTTATAGACCTCGATCATGTCACCCCTCAGCCATCATTTCTCCAAGCTAAAGAGCCCCAAGCGCTTTAACCTTTCTTCGTAGG